GTAGGATTCTAATTTGCCGGCTTCCAGTGCTTCATGGACCGCAATGCGTGTTCGGAAAATCATTCTCAAAGCTCATGCATTGAGCCTCCTTGCGAGAGTAAACTCGTGTGCGAATGCGGCAAACAAAATTCACGCTTGAGATTCTCATGCATATTCACGCACTCACACTCACAACGCCGAAAAATCATTCCAGCTTTAAACTCATAAAATCCTCTCAAAAGTCAATTGATAGCATGTTTATGCATGTTGTGTTAGTTTTCCAACCCCTGATGCACAAACAATAGTAATAACAATTATAAGCGCCAACATATACAGAAATGAATTTTTGAACCTTAAAACTCATCGGTGATTTTTGCGACGTTAAATTTTGGAAGGCAAAACTCATAGGCGCATAAACTCATGCATGAGATTTGAGTTTTTGAGTTTTTTTCCGAACACTGAACCGCAATCACATCATTCTTCTCAGTTGGCTGCTCTCTTGTTGTTTATCTGTTCAGTTGGAGCTGCTGAACCTCCCAGGAAGTTCTGGAATTGGATTCTTTTTCCTTTGCGTCGTCAGCAGCGCTAGAATTATTCCTCCTTGTGATTCCTTAATTTTTTCACTGTTTGTCTCTATGCGGATCCATATTTTCAGTTTCATTTGTAAACAGTTGCGGAATTTTTGACACCCTTTATTTACACTAAAAGGCAACAATATAAGGCAACAATATATGCTTTTTGTTCCCGTTTGAAACTTCATGGTTTTATAATTGCTTTTATAATGAACAAACACCTTTATTGAGTGTTTTGTCGTGACGTAAATAAAAAAAAACAATATAATTAATTTACATAATAGTTTCATGGAGGAATGGAGTGCTGCATTAATTTCATTTTTAAATTCAGACACGTTTTGACTTTATCGTCAGACTTTAAAAGGTTTTAAAAACAGCAAAATGCTAAACTACTGGGTCTCATATACAGTAAGGTTCTATATATAAAGTTGTCGGCTATAAAATGCTCGACCGCATGTGTGATAAGGTTCGCACCGAAATATCCTGATCCGTCCGCTTCCGATCAGCTTTTTTGTCGTCATAGATACGTTGAGCCGCTTGCTGATGTGCCTCCTTCCGTGCGATTATCTGCTGCTGCTTTTCCTCACCTGTCTCTACCTGACGCTCGATTTTTAAGGTATCACATGCGTTGCATGTATCAATTTTTGGCTTTCTAAATTTGAGATTTAGGGAATTGAAGGCAAGCCGATAAGTATTATAATGGACTGGAATGAGATTGTCTTCTCCACACTGGTCCTGGTAAAGCTCATACGTGCGCTGAATGATCAAATCAGACGACAAGTAGAGTCGAGGCGATTTCTTACGAGCGTAATGACTTTCTTCAGCTGGAAAAGGCTTGAAATGTTTAAGGACGTAATCGGCATTCTCTGGACTAATTTTTCTTCGGGAACAATTGTTCTTCCGCTTATCATCTGCAGCAGTTCCTTGTTCCAAAACAAGCTTATCAGCGAGAATACGAACTTTTCTATCCTTCAGGTCAAACGTAGCCAAACATACGTTTGCAGACCTTTACGGGACCGGAAAAACCATATTTATAACGCTCATGTCACTGGACAAGAACTGTTTTTGCCCCGATTGAGTCAATTCAAGGAGCGTAGTCAGCAGTTTCTTTCGGAACGGTTCAGAAAATTTGTCACAGCATCTCACCGGACATTCCCACGGTGCTGGAACTTGTCTTGCTGGAACAACGCTTCCATTCATTCGCCTGTATGAAAGCCATTTTTGTTAGAGGATTTTTTTTGCTCTTCCGCACCTTTACTTTGCTTTTTTTGATTGAGGTTCTTCGCCGTCTGTGTGTTCATTCGGTTGATCTTCTCCAGCAGATGTTGTTCCAGTTTCATGGTCGGATAAGCGATCATTTTTGAATGTTTCGAAATATTAAAAAATCGATAAGTCATTCAACCGACTTGCGTCACCGTCTGGAAACCATTCTGAATCATTTTGATCATTCCAAAAATCATCATCAGATGCTGGTTCAGACTGCTTCATATTATTGCCAATCAGAATCGGGTGTCCAAATTGATTAACATCAACTTTGGCTCCAATTTTCTCTACTTTGCAGTATCCATCATGATCATGTCGTAGAACATGATGCTTGGTAGTGTTAAGCGAATCATTTGCAGGCAATTCGTGGTTTTCAAGATTATTTTCGGGTATCAGGTCAGGTGCAACATTCTGTGATTCAATATTATTTGCACGTAGATCAAATACCTCTGAAGCTCAATGGTGACCGGTAGAGTTAGAAGCAAGTACCTCGGAAGCTCGACGAAGACCGGTATAGCTGGGTTTGTCGGTTATGGCTACCACCAAATTCAATGGCAATTCAGGATTGCAATTTTCATCTAACGAGAAGTCCAGTGTAAATGAAGCATGACTCAAAGGAGTGGATGCTGCGACGTGACGAAATGATGGTGCTTCGTTCCATTTATTGCTCTCATGCGAATCTGAGTAGAAAAGGCATTGAACGGTTCAAAAGTACATGAACTCAGAAAATATAATTTGAAAAACTTACCAATATAAAGCTGACGTTTTCCCCGATAAACGAAAGACGAGTGATGGGAACGTTTTTTCAAGCGTTTGGTCGAGGATCTGGGTGCATGAGATTGGCCCAGGGTCCATGGAACCACAGACAAACAGACGTAACTCTTTATTGTGTATCTTCGTTCACGCATTTAACGGTTGATTTGAATATTATCAGCTCCGCGAACTACTCGCCGCAGCGCTGGCATCGGATCACTTTGACGTTTCTATACATTCTATAGAACTTTTATGCAATATTGTTTGCGAGTTACCGAGCAAGCTTGTTTTCCGCGAGAAGCCTGAAAGATGTCGCTACTGAGGTCCTATGTTTTGAGATATTATGTTTTCAAGAAAAACTTTTTCAAAGAGTTACGTCTGTTTGTCTGTGATGGAACTATCGTAGAATTTCTGCGAAGATGTCAAAAAGTTCCTATTTCCGTTGACTAGCTCCTTCCGTCCGGATTGAGAAGACGACGAATGATGTATACGAGGATCTGGAGAAGAAGCTTGAGGTCTCAAGACACGACGACAAAAACTCTTACTGCCAGCATCCTCCTCTTACTCCTCCAGCATCAAATTCTAAAAAGAAGAGAAAATAAAATAATTATTTGATATCCACGTAATTAATTAAGTTTCGGATAACTTACTATTGCTTTCTCTAACGCAAGACTGACGACTACTGTGATCACCGTTCATGGAAAAGTGATTTGGAATATATAGAGACACCTGGACACGACATTTCAAACTCCGGCATGAAGTAGAGTAATTCCCGTTTTGGTTGACTAATTCCTCTCGTCCTGGTTGGAAACTCTGGGAAGAAGTGAAAAAGCTTCTATTCCTTGACCGATTCTCATCAATTGCATCATCTCATTAAGATTGAGCCGATAGAGTGCTGTCCCATTTACCGCTCTCAGAAATAACTAGAAAAAATGAAAATGTGTCATGATTCATTAAGGGCATAGTGAAACATACGAAGTTTTGCAAACCTTCCGTTACTGTTTCTTACGGAAGGCAGACGTCTGCCGCGGTCAGCGTTTGAAGAGTAATTTGAAATATCCTTCAAAGCGACACGACTGCGATTAGCCTTGGGCTCCAAAACACGACCTGTGCAAACTAGAGAAGACTTCGATTCCCGTTGGTTGCTTCCTCTTCCTATTTTTCTAATTTATATGCTGCGGCTAAAAGTAATCACTTCGATCAGACCGTTTTTTAGGTAAACATTTTGAAGATACGTACCAAGCAGCAAGTCGAATGCGTGCATCTTACCTCGAAAGCTGATTATTTGTGCTACTAGTCACCGAATTTCAATGAAAACGTTAAAAACATTCGTTCTGCAAAAGACAGAAGAACAAATTTGTATTGTTTTGATGGTTTTGTCACTTCAGACGACAGATGGGTCAAACGTCTGAAATAACAGTTAAGCACTCATAATGCGAATCTGTACATTGGACAATTTTCAGAACTCTGATTAAATAAAAAAAAGAAAGAGAATAGGATGACTGTTTTTGCATCACACCTTTCGAAAAGTTACGCGAGAAATTCTTACCCATGACGCCATATTTAAAATACGCCACCATCTAGTCGTCCGATCACGTCATAACATGATCAAGGACACGAACACACGTAAAATTTGTATTGATTTGCTTTGCGTCTCATCTTGTTTGACAGATCTGGTCATCCGTTTGACAGATCGAATCGCTCATTTCAGGCGTAACATTTGATAACGGCACAAAAGCATATGTAAACAAACTTTCTAAGGCCCTTTACACGCGAACCAAAGTACGCTCACGTAAACCAACGACATCATCGGATAGGGGCAACTATCACCTTTCCGAAAGTGGTATTGGTTTCCGTTTGCGTACTTTGGTTCGCGTGTAAAGGGCCTTAGAAAGTTTGTTTACAAATGCATTTGTGTCGTTAATGTTATGCTTGATTTGATGTTATGCCTGATTTGATGTAAAGTTTGAGTATGCCACAAAAAAAAAACCTATGAATTTTGCTTTTAGAGTGTCACAATGAGTGATTTTACGATCGCTGAGTGCTCACTCATCTAGCTTCAAATTTTGTGAAAAGTGCATTCTACTCCACAATCCGGTAAATTGTTTCCATCTGAACGGGATTCGAAATTAGTGCTTTCACGAAATTAGCAATTTTAAGAAGAGTTTCGCACTGCCATTTGTGAAGCTGAACTTGACGGTATTCTTAATTTCACGCAGCAATTGTTTGCATCAAGCAGCAAACGACAAAGTAACCGCAGGCAATGAACAATGTCAACGGTCAATGTCATCGACAAATGTGGTGCTATCGAGAATCTCTTTTATTTCTTCTAAAAACTTCGACATATTTGAAACGATCTTCAATTTATTACTTCAACCATGCAATGCGATTATTTGCTATATTCATGAAAATTCTTTTCTCGTTTCATTTCAGCTAAACTAACCCCTTCTGTTGCTTCAAGCTAATCTCCCCTCCGGTCTTCCACAAGCAAGAACAGCTAAAATGAGTCGTCGTCCCGGATTCCGCACCCGCGTCTACGCGTCCAACCTGGGCATGGTGGAGAATAACTACAAGGAGGCCCTGGCCCGGCTCGAGAGAAGCCGCAGACCCACGTAAGTAATGCCAACAACAATAACAATGACAATAACTCACAATCCTCAACTGCTAGACGATCCATTTTGGTGTCTGATGTATGGTGGCCGTTCACTGTGCGGGTGGTCACCTTACCGAAAACCGCTACCGTACAGTCGTCACTCGTAAAAAGTAGAAACGCATGTTTACATAAATAAATCGAGAAAAATGTGTGGATTACTAGAAGTAACAGCAGTGGCAGCTCCAATAACTGACGGACTTAGTTAATTTTCTTGCCGTTTCCCTGAAAGTGACCGGACAACCTCGATTATCAAGGTTGATGCCACACCGTTACGTTGAACCGCACCGAAATGGTTTGGTACTGTGTCAAGATTATGTAAACATTTCGTTCTTGTTGCAGCATCACGCTTTGTTGGTCAGAAATCAGAAGGTTTTCCCATGTGTGGAAATTGAAGGTTACTTTTCGGTAGACTTTTGACTTTCAGTTTGCAGTGACGCATGTTTAAGATCCCCGAATTATAGCGTGATTGCTGGATTCTATGTTCTATTTCCGTTTTTCCCACAGATCGGTCGATCGCGAGCAAACAATTCGTGCCTCCCCGTTCGCCAGCAAGCCGCTGTATGACTTCAATGGCGACGAATTCGACGAGGATCTGTCGATCGCCCGTTCGCGTGCCTCCAAGGTTATCCACGAGAAATCGGTCATCGACTCGCGCTCGGAAAATCTACGCAGCCACAGCTTGGCCCCGGTCAGCAGTGCCGTGCTGGAGAACGACTTCGACGAGCAGGTGAGATACAGACGTTTCCTCTTGCGACGCTCGGACGTCAACCGTGACAACTCGGTCATTTACGTTATCCCACTGCCGAGTGATTCGCACTACATCCCACGATCCTATTACGACTATTACAACTACTACAACTACTACAACAGCACCGGCTGCGGTTGTGGTTGCTAAGCTATATGTTTGATGGAAGCTCTGTTTTAGCAATTATCTACCTGTTGTGCATACCTTTACTATTTACTAATCACACACTGCACCCCCACTTTTGATTACAATATGTTTCCAAAATTGAACAAACAACAAACGAAGCAAGTTACGCGAGTTAGTCTTTATTCAGGATAATGCCGATTCCTAACCAAGCATGATCATGTAGCCACAGTAAACAAATAAGGAATGTTGATATGTTGTGGATAGAACCAAACAGTAGTTAGGAAATTTTTACCCAGCTCGAGCTCGAGTCAAATTGTGTAGTATTTTAGATAGACAAGCGAACGAAATTTAACTCCCTAAGCAAAAATCGAAAATGTAACAAGCGTTTGTTACTGCCAATTAGACATTCTCTAATTGAAAGAAATGTGATTATCATACAAGTTAACAAACGAAATTTTATGTAATTTTTTATATGCTAGCTGAACTGTTGCCCGACCCTGTTTTAGAGTTTTTTTTTAACATGCATATATTCACATATACAAATATTTATTCACACGATTAGATCATTGCAGCAGATGTTAACACTTAAGCCGTAGGACAACACTACTCACTGTTAATAAGAAATAATTGCAGAAATGATGATAATAAAATGTGATATATCTAAGAAAAACAAGTCTCAGTAAAAGTGTCGTTTTTTATTCTATCAATTCGCTGAGCACTTCATATCGTTCATAATCAGTTTGCATGCGTATTCGTAGCTGTCGATGTCCAATTTTTGGCTGATATAATATAAAAAGCTGGACGTAGCTAGGTATTTAACCTCCGTTTTGGTTGTTTAATGTTTATGACAGAAGGAAACATATTTGATCAAAATTCAAAATTCCAAGCTATGATAAGGTAGATGGTTGTAGCTTCCCCCTCGGTTATCAATTCATACATTTCATACATTCAAACTAATTGCTAACATATGCGAGTACTAACACAATCGTTTAATGTGTTACTGGTGTGGTTAGGAGTGTGCAGTTTATCGATGACAAATTTATCACTGTGTCCTAACGGTGGTAAAACCAAGGTTTATGTATCTACCAAGGGTCTCCATGGTTACCTGGATTGGGTATCAAGATTGGGTCTGCTTGTTTTTAAAACCTAGCTCAGGTTGAGGTTCATACTGACCAAAAGTTCGGTTTCGCACTGGGTTGGAACTGGTGTTAACCCCGATGATAAACGGATTCGCTATAAGGCGTCTGGAAATACAAGGTGCTCTAATATACTCATTTTGCGGACAATAGGAGCGCGAGGAGAAGGGGGCAGGAAACTGACAATGATTACATTTTTTAAAAGAGCAAGCCCAGCTTCGGCGACGTAAGCTTCTAAAGGGGAGTGTTCTTTGAATCTCATACAATCATGCATATATTACGTCACGCTCAAAGACAAGCATTAGGTATAGGAAAAATGAGACGAAAGGGAGGAGGTGGGTTTAATATTTTCTCTATTTAGCGTGACATAATTAAAGTATGCCCCCTAAGCAGCTCAAGCGGAGTACACAAAGGAAAAAATCCGCAAATCACGAATTTCGGAACAAGTTAATTTTTCGCTTACAAAAGTACACCGTGAATAAATATCATGGAATGGTGAACATTGTTCCGCAAAATAAACGTAACGCCTGCGCTACGTTGCCCTGGATACCAGCAAAGGCAACAAAAGTCATAGAAACGTGAACTGTGTTTTGAAAATCATGATCTGGTTCTGGCAAACGTGAGTTGTGCTTGACATCTTTTTTTTTTTTTTTTTTTTTTCCTTTATTATAGAGATTTTTAGCCATAGGCTAGTTCATCTCTTAGTGCTTGACATCGTGAACCTTTTCTCAAAACGGGAACAAGGTTCATGGACTGTAAAATGTCAACAAAAGACATGAAAGCGTGTGGAGATTTGTAAGAGATAACCGACAATATCAAAAGTGAAATGGCGTCCAATACCCCTTCGAAACAGGGCACATTTCCAACGGCCAGCTCACGGATTTTCAGCTCAGAAGACGAATCTGACAAATCTTCCGCAGGCGGAAAAGACCAGCCTCATGCTCACAAATGCGCGGGGATTTGTCCGATCAACTATTTTACCGCAGTTCTCATACTCTGAATCACACGAAAGCTAAGCTAACGATCAAATTGACCACCAAATGCGTCGACCAGAAAAGCAAACCGGTGCGATTCTTCTTGTTGTTTATTAGTTTATTTGATAAGGCTCAATCGAATTAATTTACAAAGCTGAGGATTCTGTTTCACTCTGTCAAAAGGTACAACATAATAAACAATTTATCTTCCGCTATCCAATAAGCCCCTCCACCAGAACGGGGGCCGCTTACAGTGGTTTCATTGTATGGCAGTATCGCCAACGAGGGGCAGAGCGCTTCCATTGCAGCAATGGACGCAAAACGTGGTCAGCACTCACACACTCATCACGAAATGGTTGCTTTCCAAAGTCGACGACGCATCGGCCGAAAAAACTGCTGATGAAGAACAATGAGAAGGGCCACACAATGGCTGCTGCCGAGTAAACAGACGATCGCGTGATACACATCGAGAGTGGTCTACTTCTGTCGACAGCCGAATGAACACTGAGATGCGGTTCTTATGCTGCACAAGAATTGGCGTTGATGACACCGTCGAAAAATGTGCTCTTCCAGCAAATATAGACAATTTCTTATGGGAATTTTCGGTGAAGTGAAAGGGTAGTACAAAGTCCGCCATGTTTCACGCACAGTCTGATGTTTGCTTAAGGATTTTCTCATAGGAGTAAATAGCTACAGAGTCGCCGTCAATGCCAATTCTCACTGCCTGTTCTGCCACCACCGATATCGGTCACAGCTTGTAAACCGGACGATCCCCCGCAAGGGAAATCGATGAATTTGCATTCACTTCTACTGTTTCTGCTGCTGCTATCTTGACCGGAATTGTTCATATCTTCAGATATAAATAATTCGAGCCTTGCCTACCAAACGGTAATGGTAATGTGCCTGTATTGCTGGAAATCACGGATTATAAGAGTCCATGGTATCACTAAATCATGTGTTTTTTTGTTTATCATGTTTTCTAAAGCGTTACGAATTTGCTGGTTCACGGAATTGGGATTAAGTTCTTGAAAATCCAATTTACGTGATCACATTTACGGGAACTAAGCCATGAATTCATATGAACTAGCAGTTCAGGTTATCATGATTTTTTATTCACGAATATCGGAACGGTTTTTTTTTTGCGTGCATAGATCCCGTTAAAAGCTTAAATGGGGCCATTCAATAATTACGTAAGAACTTAGAGGGGATCGGGGTAGCAGAAATTTGCTTACGTTTTCTGAGATGGGAAGGAGGCTTACATAAGCATGAACAAGTCATATACAGATCGTAGTCGATGGAAGATCATACAATTTTGGGTTTTGATAATTATTACTAAATCTTACCAGTGTTGGCAAAATGATCAATCAAATGATATTTTTCTTACGCTCTCAATATCACGCGCGATATCGGAAGAAAATATCTTACTTGATATTGATTTTAAAAGATCCTTTGATATTGCGAGACTACTCACAACATTCTACGAGTTGACTCACATCAAGAATGATTCCGATACACATCGTTTTCTTAGAAAGAGAAAGTATACCCCCTTATTCTGCGAGTCACGTGACTCTCTCTCACCGGTGAGGTGACAATTGTCACCTCACCGGTGAGAGAGAGTCACGTGACTCGAAGAATAAGGGGGATAGTTTGCTATCTCTTTACTTTTCACAGATGACAGACAGGAAGCTACTGCTGCCAGCAATGATGGCAGTTTCGGTTCGTGTTCGGGTGTAAAGCAAAAATCTTGAAGCTCAAACTCTCCACAGTTTGGTTAGAATTGTAACTGGTGAGTTTTGTTAGATTGTTATGCGTAGCTACGATATCACAGCTTGTAATAACATCCGCAGTAGCTTGCTAATTGATTTTTTCTGCGAAAATCAAGCGTTATCATGGGCATTGGTGAGATTTGGTTTTTGATATTTTCCCAACACTGAATCTTACAATGGTATAGTTCCAGGCCAAATAGCAAAAAAAAAATGTTTGACTCGACCTTCTCCGATTTGTATGAAACTTTGCATAATTGTTTTTTATTCTCATATGACGTCTTCTACAAATTTTAATCAACTATAGTACGAAATGACATCTGAAACAAAGTTGTTTAGAAAAGTGAAGTATTATTGGGAATGTGTTTTAGTAATTTTGAGTTAATTCCAAAATAGTGTGAAACACTCCAATATTTTAAAAAACTTATATCTTCAATACTTTCATGCATTGTTTAACAAAGCACATTAAAAATACAAATTTCTAGAATACTTAAAACCATGAACACTTGAAAATTGACAAAAATCGTAGAACATCAACTTTGGATCATATTTTTAAACTTTGTATGGAAAACGAATAAGAATGTCTCATATATTGTTTCATGTGTAGAAATTATATAAAAAAGTGTACCTGCTAAAAGTTTATAAATTTAACAAAAATTTCTTGTTCTAAGATTTTTGAAAATTTTCAAATTTGCATAGCAGCATTTTGTAGTACGTGTGTTTCACTTTCAAGAAAAAAAACTGGTAAAATGCGCTGCCACAAAAAAACCTTATCAGATTGAAGCTGAAACTGTCATCGATGAGAAGTGACGTTTTCGTGCTACGATTTATCGAAAAATGAAAAAGACGCCATTTTGGAAAAACTTGCAAGATCCAAAAATGGTCCGCTTTTTGCAAAATTGTGAATGATTGCCCATAACACACAATTATGCAACGTTTTATGCAAATCGGAGAAGATCAAGTTTTTCCGAATCTTCAATTGG